CCCTGCCAATTACATCTCCCTGACCTCCACTCCAGAAATCAGCATTTCTGACAGCAAAGACAGCATTTGGAGATATAACTTCAGATTCCCTGACTGTCTGACACACTTCAGCGAGGTACCCCCATTCCTCATCTCCCTGACTCTGATGCTAAAGATGAACACTTTCCATGGCATCTCTGAGCTAAGGATATGTATCTTCTCTGGCAGCTAGTATTCGGGATAACAAATCAAAACAAGGAGGCTGGGACCAGTTGTGTTCTCCGCAACTTCCAGAAGGTGGAGATAACCAGATGTTTCTACCTGCTCATCATATGGACATATGTCCAAAACAGAAACTAACATACACACATATAACCAACCCTTTCCTGGTGGTAGGATATTTAACAGGAGTTCCAGGAATATTTTTACGTTTACAGCCGATAATGTAATCCAAAGGCTGGGCCAGGGTGAGGTTGTTTTTCCAGCCTCTGCAGACCAAGTCCATTGCTCTGCGCATATCCAGCCCCCTGCCAAGTGCCTCAGCCGGTACCAGCTTGCCCAGTGCTCGCTCTTGGCAGGCAGGAGATGTGTTCATCTGCCTCCAGGGAAAAAAGTAACCAGGGTGGACAAGCATGGAGGACACAGCAGCAGCTAGGCCGGACATCGTTTCCCTTGCCTGACAGAGGAACACAAATGCTCCTAAGCACTTGACCATTCATTGCAAAAGCATGATTTGCCTGCTTCCCCCAAATGCCACGTGGACCTGACACACTGGCAAGCTAGGGCTCCCTGCTGACCCAACCCACCTGCTCCTCCACATCATCTCTGCCCCGGGATTCTGTTTTCACTCCTATATTATCCGGCCGTGTTTCTTTTGCTTTATTTCTCCCAGTCCTTAATTTAGACTTCTTCAACTACATATTGAAAATGCACAGGGGTGTATTTTTCTCTCACGCTACTGTTTCTTCCAGCCACCACTGCACTCTTTAGCATTTGCATGGCTAGAGGGAACGCAGGGCAAGGGCAGAGAAGGGAGGAGGCAGGAGAGGAGGAGAACGGAGGTCACTGTGGGGAATAAACAGGAAAGGGCAAGCAAAGCCAAGGACGACCCAGGCCTAATTCCAGCCATACCGTCTTTGCACCATGTTCATTACATAATTGAGGCTTTTTTCTTTTTCTCAAATCCTCACTGTTTCTCCCAAATAGGCAGAGGTGGGGGAGGGGCAAGATGGGAAGGGCCAAGAGCGTCTCTCTGTGGGAATCTAGTGCTTGTTTAGACTGGGCACTGGTGTCTCTGGCTGTGGAAAACCTCTGGGACAGTTAAGATACATCTTACCTGGTTGCTCCTGGCTCTCCCACTGCTCTTGGATCAACACCAATGGCTTTCTTGGGGTCAACACACACACACACACACACACACACACACACACACACACACACACACACACCCTGCTCTCGTTATCAATATTAATAATAGCAATACAACAATAGAGATGAAGAAAGGCAAGCTAACAAGATAGAGTGAGTGGAAACGGAGGCTGGGATTTCTCGAAGCTGTCTGCTGAGGGATACAAAGGCCCCAGGGCCTCACGGGCTCTCTCTGTTTCCCACAATGTCCCTTCCCAGCTCCAGCTCTGTAGATTTGCCAGACCCAGCGGGTGCCAACCTGAATGGGCATCTTATTTGCTTCCAGGCTAGAGGTCATTATTAGTAATTGTATGGAAGAGGCTTCTGGCTGCCTGCCAACCCAATACCGCCTTCCTCTACCATGCCCTGGGAAATGTTACCATCAGCACAAATGCTCCTGTTCATGGTGAGGCCCAAGATTGGGGAAACTATGGAGCGTTCCTTGTTTAAGGTTGCTGGCTCCTCCACCTGAGGCTGCCATAGACTCCAACAGGGCATCATCCCTGTACCCCCTGACCCTATGACACTCCTCACAGCTTCACAAATGCCAAGGACCACTTTTGATCAGTCATGGGGGCATAGCCAGAGCCCACTCAGAACCCAGAGGAATCTAAGACACCCTGCTCCGGGCTTCCAGTTTTTCTCCTCATAGGGAGCAGTTTCTATCTCTTCCGAGAGATGAATTTGATGTCGAGATGACAAAGCAGGAGCCTCCCTCCCCTACTTCAGGGCTTCCTGAAGTTACTTCCTATGGTTCTCTCTCCTACAGCCCAGTTTGAACAGCCTGACAGTTGAGCCTTCCCAGCAGCAACCGTTATGATGCTCAAAGGGCCCATTCTGTTCATCTTCCTGCCTCCTCTCTCTCTCTCTTCTCTCTGACCTACTGTAGATTTCCCAGTCCTCTACCCCCTGTCCCTCCAAACACCAGAGGGTCTCCAGGCTCATTAGAAAGACATTTCCAGGCTCTCAATCCATCCATCCTGCTGTTTCCACACTCAAGGCAGGCAACCATGGCCTCCGAAAGAGGATCCTACAGACCCCAAGCCCTGAGAATGCTGGGGAATAGGAAAGGAACCCAACTCACAGACGACCTCAACGGCAGTTGGGGCTGCAGTGGGGGAGACTTGTGGATTCGGGACAAATAAAAAATATGAAGTCCTCTCCATTCCTCAGCTGTGATGCGGGTAAAGCTGAGCTAAGGTCCAAAGGGGTAGCAGACAGTGGGGGACAGGGAGGTAGAGGAAAGGCTGTCTGTCCTGCCAGGTGGTAGGGTAAAGGCTGGCCCGGCCCTCCTGCTTCCCTTTCCAAGTGCTAGAGTCGGGACCTGTGGGCCCAAGCCCTGCAGCAGCAAAGCCTGAAACGGCGGCCATGCCACCATCTGTCACTTGACCCCAGCCAGTCTAGACCAGAGGGGCCTCAGCAGCTGACGTCCGAATGTTACAAGGACACTCATCTGTGGGGGTGGGAAAATCCATGCGGACTCAGGCCAGAGCCTGGGGGTCCTTCCTAGTTCCACCGGGTGAGGGGCACCAGTCCCGCCCCCCCTTGCCCTTCGACGGCCCCCTTAACCAACATGGATCCAGAGTCCAGGGGGCCCAGAGAAAGGAGAGCTGGCTTTTGTCCGCAACCGGGCTTTTGTTTCTTTTTTCAAATCATTTTGCTTTCCAGGACCAAAGGACTGAGGGGAAAGCGTGTTGGGATAACTGTCCACTCCCCCGCCCCCCGGCCCTTTGCTTACAGCCCCCATCAGCCCCCTCCAGTGTACCCTCACCCCCACTCAAGGCTCCTTCCCCTCTCTTCTCTTTATTAGGTTCTGCCTGGCTTCCTCACTAACCCCTGACTCCCCTTCCCAACCCCAACTCAGGAACGCTGGCCTACGAAAAGGAACACCGCTGTGTACTGCTCCGGCCTGGCTCCAGGCCTGGGACTCAAACACTTCCAGTGGGAATGTGGGCATGACTGTGGCCTATGAGCCAGCTTCACCCTTTGGGATTTTGGGATTCCCTAAGGATGGACATTAGTGAACAGGAGGGGAGAGAAGTCTCACCTCAACACTCCCAAACCCAGTGGCAGAGGGCAGACTAGGAGGTTCTCAGGACCCTTGCATGGGCCACCACCGGCCAAGCAAGGCTGCCTCGCACTTGCGGGCTGGGAGAGGAAACCACGGTCCTCTTCCATGCTTGGGGCAGCCTGGCTGCGGATGATCTTTTCTTCCACCCACAGCAGAGCATAGGTTTCCTGAACTTGAAAAGTAACAACGATCGTTTTCTTCCTTAAAATACCTGGGCTTTTTAAATAGGAGGGCTGGAAGGAATTGTTCTTGAAGACTAATGTCTACCAGGAGTGGTACCCAGACTCCTCCCCCCCCGACCCTGCAAAGCCTCCCCCAACCTTCCCTGCAGAAGTGATCCTCTCCTCTCTCTCTGTTATCCACGGGAGGGCCTCTCAGGCTGAGCCCAGGGAAGCAGCTGCTCCCTCCACCTAGCCTGGGCTTCCTAGCTGGCCCGGAGGCAAACACACACGTCCGAGTCTAGGGACCTGCCCAGCGGCTTCTGCCTCCTGAGGGGATGAGAAAGATGACAGGAATGTCCGTTCTCATCAGGAGCACCATTCCTGTTCCTTCACCAGGTTGCCTGTCCTGGATCTGCTACAAGCCCCGAATGCAGGGTCTCAAAAGCGTCTAGACGGAAATAAGAGTTTGTTTTCCGGCAGGAACCCTTCAGGGTTCCCATATAAGGATAGAAGGCTGTGGAACGCTATAACCCTGCCGGGGATTTGAGGGGGACTCAACAGCATCATCCTTTCCCCTTAGTGACCTCTGCACAGAATGACAGTGGCTACCACAGGCGGGAGGCCCTCTTTTTAGCAAGGCCTACACCAAGATACTTACCAGCGTTACTCTGATATCCCCGCTAGATTTCTAAACTGGCCATGTTTCTCTACCGCACGCACATGCGCAGTGAGGCTCAGAGAGGCAAAGCCAGCTAGAAAGTGACGCTACCTTTGAACAAGAACATAGTGCCCTCCGCAGAAGTTGGCTCCCTCTCCCAGTGGTTAATCACGCTGATGGTGTGTGTGTGTGTGTGTGTGTGTGTGTGTGTGTGTGTGTGTGTGTGTGTGTGTGTGTGTGTATTTCGGTCTGTCCGCATGCACATGCATTTATAGTATCTTCATCCTCTAGTCCCCAGCCTCCAAGCACCTCCCCATTACCACGCATGCCCAATCATGGTCTCCATGGCCACAGCCCTGGCTTGGGAGCCCTGACCACAGATAACCTGGCCCTCAACGTTTCCAAGAAGGCCTCTAGCTTTGGCTAGAATCCACAAGAAGGTGGCTTCAGAAAGCATTTGGAGTTCCTACAGACAAGCTGGGCTCTGGTGATGGTTGTTCATATAACATCAGACTTTGGGCCCCTCCCAATGTCACTGTGGAATAGAAAGGGCAAGTGTCAGCATTTCCGTTTTACAGATGGGCAAATTGAGATTTGAGGGTGCTAAGTGATTTGTCCAAGATCATACACTACTCGGGTAGAGGGGACATTAGGACCCTGGACCAGTGATTCCCGCACTCAGAGAAAGTGGATACCAATTTTACTTTACGAACACCTTCTTTTTCCCCACACAGGAGGTGGCACCCTGACAGGGCATCTCACAAGCTGATCTGCTCTCCCCACTTTCTCCACGGGGAACCAAACTGAAGCCTCCAAAGCACCAAGGCTGAACCCATTTTGCAGGACTCAGTGAAACAGAAGGGAACCCCAGGAGCCTTCCTTATGTCACCCAGAGCTCAGCTAACCCCAGCACTGCGGGCAAGCTCCAACTGGTGCCTTGACGTGGCTAGAGAGGCCTGTTCCCCCTCAGCTTGGGTGGGCAGAGCAAGCATGGCTGGATATAGAACAGGGAGCACCCCCCTCATCTGCATGTCTATAGAGAACGGACTCATGCACACTCCATATGGGAACCTGTCCGGTCTCAGAGCCACAGGTTGGGGTTTTAGACTTGGTTTTTTTTTTTTCTCCCCCACTTTTAAGCCAGTGTAGCATTCTGGAACATTTGGACCTTTTTTTCCCCCCCTAAAATTAATTTAAAACGAATGCCCAACCAAATAATTAGCCATTGAGGAGATCCTGCTTTAGGTTTTGTGGGAGGAGAGAGTGAGCCAGCAGAGTCTGGGGAGGAGAGGTGCCACTCTGTGGAGATGGGCTTTCCCCGCAGCCCTTCCCTGGGCCTTTAGAATCCTCACAGGCTCAGCAACCAGCAGGAGGAAGAAGAGAGCTTGTGAGGAAGGGCAGAAATGCTGTCTGGACAGGGGCCCTTTAAATGAGATCATTATGTATGCATGTGACCAGCTCTGAGGCCACAGGGCCTGCAGGAGAGTGACCCCCCACTCTCTTGCCACAGGTCACTCTGCAAAGGAGTTGGGGGGGGAGGGCACACCGCTTGGCTCCATGCCAGGCTGCCCTGGGTCCAGGTGCCAAGAGCAATTAGCCAGGGGGAGGATGACTCCTGCGGAGCGAGCGGCGGAGGCAAGCCTGCATCTGAGCAGAGTGGCCCAACTAGCCCAGGTCTCCAGGGGCTTCTTCGGGAGCTGAAGACTAAAAATAACTCCGGCCTTTGTTGCAAGCTGCTGGACCACGGCGACGGAGCTGATTTCAGGGAAGCAGAGCATGCGCGAGGGTCCTGCTCACTGAGACCTGCCCTTTGGGCAAATGATTTTTTTTTTTTTCTAGAAATATGTCAGTCATCACGCTGTTGCTGCGATTCAAAGACAACCCAAGCCACGCCAGCCCACAAGGCTGTCTGTCATCCGACACACAGAGTTCTCGGAATCTAGGCCTCCCTACCCCTTTCTCTAGAAACTTTCTTATTTCAGACGCGAGTCCAGCTCATAGCGGGGGAGCTCAAGGTACAAGGGCAGGCGAGGGTTCTGAATCATGGCCACCTCGTCACAAGTAATCACCACACTCAATGGTCTAGTTAAGTAATGATCCTCTCTCCTCCATTCTGAAATTTCCAGTCACATCGCAGTAGTCACTGGCAAACACATAACTCCACCAAAGTGGAGGAAATTGCCCGGGGAAGGAATTCATAGTGTAGCATTAACACTGAAGGGTTTCTCAAAGCTACACTCTCTTTCCTCCAACCTCAGACCATTGAGTGGGCAGCCTTTGCCCACCTCTCTGATGCTTGTCTCCCACCAGCAGAAACTGAGCCAGGCCTTGACACTCAATTCAGTCGGGAGGCACCGGGAATCTTCAGCACTTTTCTGTGTTTGCAGACTGTGGTTTGTCCCACCTCAAGGACACCGCAGTCCTGAAGGTCAAAGGACGACTGGGTCCCTTGCCAAGTCTCTCTTGATGAACAGCAAATACTAACTGGTTAGGCCGGGGTCCCATTTTTTCCTCCCATCTCTCGGGCTCTCTCCACCCCTCATCAAATGGTGGTGCAGTAGATCAAGACCATCCCAGCTGAGGTTTGAAAACTGCAACTCTTCTTAACCAAGCTCCATCTTCAAGATGGCCTCCAAACGTAGACATTTCCAGGGAAGCTTGTAATAAGTAACAATTTCTCCACAGCATTTTGTTCCTCGGTGAGAGTTTAGGATGAAGAGCCTAAGCTAAGGGTGAAGAGGCTGTGTGAAGGGATCTTGAAACACCATAGGTTTAAAACACACACACACACACACCATCAACACACGAGTGATTGGTGAACAGTCACAAAATGGCTTCCGCTAAAATGGGAAGTGTTGAGAGGGATGCACTGTGCGGGTGAATGTGAAGAAGATTCCACAGGGCTGGGCTGGATTGTTCTTCCAAAGTGCAAGCTCCCTCTGGTAGAAATGTGGAAAGTACTGGCTGAAGTCCCACGGGTGAGGCTGGAGGTCACGGGCCGGGCGGTAGGTGAGTAGAGACCTTGCCCTCTCGGTTCCACAGGTCCATGCCCTTCTGTAACTATTCATTTTCCTTACAGTTGGTCTGTGTGAATATGCAGGAGGAGAGCTCCATCTGGATCAAACAGGACTCCAGTTCAGCCTCTCTGGTGGCATGTCACATCCTGTGACCTGAGGCCCTAGGCCTGACAGCCAAAGGCTGAGGCTTTCTCTTTGAGCAGCTCCCAGCATAAATGGCAGCTCCAGCTTCCTATAAGAGACAATAGAGCATTAGCAGAAGCCCTTCTCCTAACTGTTGGGCCCCAGCCTAACGACTTTAACGTCTGGTAACGCCTATTTGCCTTTGACTTCCATAATATTCAGAGACCAAGTCTCAGTCCTGAAGGCGTGTGAGGTCCATTGCTCAGTGCAAAGTGAATGCTCAGAGATATAAATGCTCAGAACTATATAAGGAGCCCCACCCCTTTGTCACACCTCTTAGCCATCCTTGGTACACCTGTACTAGTTCCCTTGGAAACTCACACCTCCCCACTGTTGCAACCACACATCTGAGAAACCTCTCCTATGCCTCAATTTCCCCATCTGTCATTTGTGAAGTTACACCTAACCTCATAGGACTATGATGATGAAATGAGACAAACTTTGAAAATCCCTTAGCACAAGGCCCGCACCATAGTAAAGGATCAGTAAGGGATAGGCGTGGTTACTGTTACTGTTGTTGTTATTGTTGAGTTCATCATCATTACCTTCTGGGGGCTCGGCCACTGGGGGATTTAAACAGTACATGTGATAACCACGGTCACAGTCATCGCAGAAGAGTAGCTGGTCCTGGCAGATACAAAAGGGATAAATTGGGGAGAAGAGAGATGTCATTACAGTGTCTGCCCCCAACTTATTCCTCTGTTCTTATTTCCATAAATCAACTTTCCAGGCTCCATTTGGGTTCCTCACTGTCCCTTAAACATGGCTTATACTTTATCAACATCTGAAAATAGCCCTCTGACTCCCCAGTTATACAAATCCTTCGCCACCTTAGGGCTCTTCTCAACTCATTATCTTAGAAGTCTTCCCTGATGGCTGCCTTACACTTAGGCTCACAGAAATTCCTTGTCCTGGACTCCCATGGCCAATGATGTTGTGGATTTCTCTGACCCCCAACCCCATGGCAATGACCTAATAATACATGGATTGAATTTCCGCTCTTCCCATCTGTGTACTGGGCAACAGCTGAACTGGGTGGTAACACCCATTGCGTCTCAGAGCTCCTTCAGGATTTCAATGTAGATGTTAAGAAAAGCCTCTTCCCCATCTGGGGGTTGGAGCCCAGTGGGAAGCAAGAGATTGGTTGGTTCTAGAAGGAGAAGCCAGGTGAAGGATGCTAAGAGCCTGAAGTAAGGCAGGGCAATGAGGAAGCAGTCACTGACTGGTGTAGTTGCCTGGGCTGTGGCATAGTTAGCCACTGAGACAAGGCCAGGAAAGTGGCCACGGGGGTAGGAGAGAGAGGACAGCCTCAACTAGAGATCCAAGGTCACCAGGGAGGGATTTCCTGGAGGCTGGAGATCAGGACAGAGGTCTGGGCCCAAGATATAGATTTGAAAGTCACTGGTAATAAGTTGGCAAAGTGGAGGTCCCAGGAGAGAAAGTTCAGAGTGTATGACAGCAGACACCTCTGAAATGGTATTCATGGAAGGCTGTCCCTGAAATGATACACACAGTTTTGTATACAGGTAGAAATGGGTATTTTGCGAAAAATGTGTATTTCTGAAAATAGGGTGAATCCATGGCTTTCACGGAAGTCTCTGAAGTCTTTCCACAAGGAAAGCCAAGAACACATACTTTCACCATTAAGGAGAGACCAAAGGGATTAAAGAAGCCCAGTCAGGGGAGAGGGCGAAAGCCAGCACACCAGCTTGACTCCCAGAAGGTACACCATGGCATCTGAGACCAAAGAAGCTGTAGGACTACATAATTTGGATATGTAATTGTTGTGATACGAAGAGAAGTAATATTAGTGATGTATTAAAGACATCAATAATCCCTACCATAGCACTGACACAAGGCTCCAAAAAAGGGGGGATACCATAGACTGGACTCCCCTTCCCCACAATTCAAGTATATGAGGGTCCAAGCACATTTGTCATGTGTAGTCGTCTAGAATCCTTTCATTTCTTTCCCATTTACTTTTCAGGGCAGTGTTTGCTCATGCTCATGCCCATGAAAAAGATCATCTTAAAGGAGATCTAACCCCTATATCTAAGAGGCTGGATCCACTGATAGCTACAGTGCTGGTGGGATGGCAATCTCATTCTGGGATCTGCAGGAGACCTTGTGAGAAGATCCCTAATGTCCAGGCAACCACTCTACTCACTTGTGGACCCCTATTAAGGCTCTGTATTAACAATTTCAGTAAGACCAAAGTCTAGAAGCAACCCAAACGCCAGCCAATAAGAGACCAGCTACATAAAACCAACAAAGAACCATGAAACCCTAAGGATGGGGATTGTGGCTATAGATGGCTGTGGAATGACTTCTAGGATATTCAGTGGAAAAAATCAGAATGGAGAAAACATACCTATATTCTTACCATTTAGTTATGGGTACAGTATACAGCACAATGCTTACATTTAAACATAATGTAAAGACAAACTTTGTAATTTTTAAGAGGTCATCTGTAAGCAAAGAAGGAAATTAAGTTTGGAACCAGAACATGGAAACTAGATTTTCTTGACTATCTTATTCTTTCTAGATTTCTTTGTGGAACTATTTTGTATAGTCATAAACCAAAATTAAAATCTTACTATTCTTAAAAGGAAATTCTTCATAAGCGAATATACTTGTATATCTAGCTACACAACTATAAACAGAAAGTATTTGGGGTGATGACATATCTTCTTTATTTATTTTTTTATTTGGGTTTTCTTTTGATTCAGGGTCTTTCTGTGTAGCCCATTCTAGCTTCAACCTTATGAACCATCTGCCTCTACCTCCAGAATATCCAGCTAACCCATGATCTTAACAACCACGCTAAATGTAAACATGTGTGTATATTTTCAGCAATCATATTAGTGATGACAGTATTAGAACTGGTTAACTACCTATAGCTAGTTGCATGTGTGTCAAATGTGTGATTGTGATGGTATCACTGAAAAGCAAAATATTTTACATGCTGAAGGAATAGACATGAGATCAATGAATTAGTAGAAAAACCATATGATTAATTCTAGCTGTAATCTAGAAGAATTTGAATAAATAGTGTATTTTGTCTTTTAAATAACAAAAATATGTTCTAGATCTGCCATTGAAAATGTTCTGAAGCCAGGTGGTAGTGGCGCATGCTTTTAATCCCAGCCCTTGGGAGGCAGAGGCAGGCATCAGACCTCTGTGAGTTCATGGCCAGCCTGGTCTTCATAGAGCATTCCAGGCCAGTCAGGGTTATACAGAGAAACCTTGTCTCAAAAAACCAAAAAAAAGAAAAGAAAAGGTTCTGAAACAATGATAAATGCAATAAACCTTAGCCCCTCCAGACCAGCAGTCTTGGGGAGATGGCTGCTTTCAGACTGGCCCATGAAGTGTATAGATAGCTTCCTTTGTCCAAAAGCAAGGAAGCTATGGAAAGCTCTCAGGATAGTGTTGAAAGGGCTTGGTCTCCAGCCTGAGTGTTTCCATGGGCCAAAGAGAATTTTAACTGCAGTGGATGGAAGCAAAACATATTTGAGTTCTTCAGTTCATACAGACAATATTTTTAAAACTTAGTCCCTTTGGAAGATGTTAAGGAAATTGACACTTTTATTTATTTTGATACCACTTTAGACTTAGAGAAAAGTTGCAGAAATGGTAGTTTCTCTATTCTCTATCTAGCTCTTCCAAATAGTAACATCTTACACTGCAGGGTAAAATTACAGAGTGGAGATTACAGTTGGTATAATGTTATTAACTGGCCTATGAAAGGGCTTTAATTTCCTCCATTTCCCCACTTGTTTCCCCTTTCCCAGGATCCTACATAACATTTACTTTTTTGTCAGTTTGTCATGGTCTTTAATTGTTTGTTTTTTTCTTATACTTATTCATTGGAGTCAGTTTTCTCTTTCCAATGTGTGGGTCCCAAACTCCAGTCCTCGGGCTTGGAGGCAAGTGCCTTTACCCCCTGAGCCATCTCACAGGCCTTCTCTGTTTGTATTTTGGGGGGCAGGGTTTCATGTAGCCCAGGCTGGTCTCAAAGTCACCATGTAGCCAAGGACAACCTTGAACTCCTGGTCCTCCTCCTCTGCCTCCAAGTACTAGGATTACAGGTGGGAGCTCCCATACCAGATTACACAGTACTGGAGACCGAACTCAAGGCTCCACGTGTCCTAGGTAAGAACTCTACCAAGTAGAGCTATGGCCTCAGGTTTACTTGGGTTTTCTTTGTGTCCCTCAGTCTGTGACAGTCCCCCAGTTTATCTCCCATTACCTTGACACTTTTTAATTAATAAACTGCATTCATTGATGATGTCATACATATTTATAATGTATTCTGGGGAGGCTCCTCCCAGCCTCTCTCATTTCTCTCCCACCCCTGTCAAACCCATTCTACCTTACACATCTCCTTCTCCCATATTCATTCATTCATTCATTCATTCATTCACTCATTCAACTTCTTGTTTTATTTTGTGCCCCCACAAAGTTTAACTGGGATATCTGTGTGATTCTAGGTTTGAACTATCCATTAGAGTCTGGTGGGCTCACCAGTCAGCACATGACTGGGTACAATGCCCACCTCATGCCAGGATCTGTTAGTCGCTAATAGTGCAGTGGTAGTAGAGTCCTGTGGGTCCCTTCCCATCCACAGCTGACTGCTGGGAAGGCCTGACTTGTGTAGACCCAGGGCCGGTGCACAGCTGCTGTGAGTCCATGGCTTCCATGGCCGTGTCCTGCTCAGAAGATGGCATGGCAGGGCCCTTCTCCCTATCTTTGGTTCTTACATTCTTTCCAACCCTTCTTCCACAATGTTCTCTGAGCCTGAGGAGGGTGGTGTAAATGTTTTCATCTAGGGCTGAGTCCTCCACTGTCCTTTTTTCTCAGCATCTTATACCACCATGTGTCTGCATTCACCTCTGTCCACTATAAGCAGAGACTTCCCTGATTACAGCTGAGGGAAGCCTTTGTAGGCACACACAAACATTAGAGAGGCTGTTTATGCTCTCAGGAATTTGACACCTTTGAAGAATACGGGTTGGGGATTTTATAAACTTCATTGGATGTCTTGGACGAATCTCTTCCCATATGAAGACTGAGGTGTGCAAGCATTTTTGGCAAGACCATCACTACATTCTATCCTTCTCATTGCATCCTATCAGGGTGTCACTAGAGGTGGTATGTCTGGTTACTTGCAATATCATCATATAGCTAGGGTGGTGACTGTCAGTGTGAAGTTACTAATTTTCCTTTGGTAATATGTAATTAGGGACATATTTTGAGTTTATGCCAATATCCTGTTTTACACACTTTTACTCACTACATTTTAAAAAATAATTTGATGCTTGCCTAACTGTGGGCTTATGATTTCTCCTTCTGTATTTATTAATTGGAATTCCACTCTAAGGAAGTATGTACTGTCTTCATATTCCTCCCTCTCCTTCTCTCCTCCCTCCCTCCCTCTCTTCCTCTCTTCCTTCCTTCCTCCATCCTTTCAATCTCATAATATAAGAAGGGATATTTGTGTTATTCTTTACATTACAAGCCAACAGTATCATTATTTTCTTTCTCAATTGTTCCTAGATTAGGCCATTAAGTATTCTTTCAGGTTGTTGGTTCTTGTGTTCTTTAGACACACACTGTCACTTTTTTCT